TGATTTTATACACAAACTTAGAATAAAATTGTGGGGTGAGAGTGATTTTGCTACTTATTTTGACAAATTTACCTCTTCACTCTAAACATTAGTACTTGATAACTGACCCCTAAACATTAAACAATAGTTGGTAAAGCTTTATTTGTTTTCTCAGCATGGGGACTGTTTCTTTTGTAAATAGAGATCCAGATACTTTTTTTTTAAAAAAAAAAGAAGAAATGAATAAGGAGCTGTTGGAAACTGATTTCTGCTCAGTAAAGGTCTGAATAGCTTAGGTGAGAAATAAAAGCAAAACAAGATATTTTGAGAATATACCCTACTGAACTCAGTGGGACTTGTTTTCAAATAAACATGCAAAGAACTAGATTGTAAAACCTTATTATTGGAACACAGAGAACCAGCTGGATCTGTTTGTTCATGAATTGAGTAACCCCAGAGAGATAGAATTTACTTCCTCCTTGGGGTCAGTGCAGTGGTTCCCAACCTATGGTCCACGAACCACCAGTGGTCTGCAAGAACTAAAATATGGTCCATGAAACATTTAAAAATTTAAACCTTTATTCATTTTAATTATGGAATGAATGCAACCTGCCACCACTCCAGCTGCCCTGACTCAATGCTATGGGTTCCTGGAGTTTGGACTTTAGGGAGGCACCCATTCTCTTTGACAGAGAAGAGCAACTCCCAGAATGTCATTGCACTGAGCCAGGTCAGTTCAATTTCACAGTGTTGATGCGACCTGTGTTTTCAAAGCACCAAGTATCCTGGTTTACCATGCCTGACCTTTAGAGTGAAGCTGGCAGCACCTCCACACCAGGAAAGGTGGGAAGGGGAAAGAGCAGGAAGGATAAGCAGAGAAAAAAGGAGGAAGAGGACGAGCCTGCCTCTACTTGCCTGAACTCATGGTGCGCCTCCTCCACAAAATGCAGGAGATGTAAAAGGGCAATCTTGGGGAGCCCTGGGAGCCTGTGTGAGGCACAGCCCACTTTCCACCCTCCCTCCTTCTTGCTTCCTTTCCTTCCTATCCTCCCTCCTTCTTCCCATTCTCCATTCCTTCCTTCCTAACCCACATCTCTCCCTCCAGCCCTTCTTGCTTGCTTCCTTATCTCCCCCTTCCTTCCTTGGCCCCATCCTCAATCCTCCCCACTCCCTTCCCTCCCTCCTTGCTTCCCTCCTTCCTTCATTTCTTCCTTCCTCCTTCCTCCTTTCCTTCTTTCCTTTCTCCTTCCCTCCCTCTCTCTCCCCCTCCTTCCATTCCTTGGTACCATCCCTTCCTCTTCCTTCCTTCCTTCCTTGCTCCCTCCCTGCTTCCCCCCTTGCTTCCTTCTTTCCTTCTTTCCTTCTTTCCTTCTTTCCTCTCTCCCTCCCCTTCCTTCTCTCCCTCCTTGCTTCCCACCTTCCTTCTTTTCTTCCTCCTCTCCCTCCTTCCTTGTTCCCCTCCTTCTTTCCTTCCTTCCCTTCTTCTCTCTCTCCCTTCCTTCCTCCCTCCTTCAGTCCTATCCATTCTTCCATTTCTTCCTCGCCTCCCTCCTTGCTTCCCTCCTTCTTTTCTTCCTTCTCTCCCTCCTTACTTTCTTGCTCCCTTCTTTTCTTCATTCCTTCCTTTCCACCCTCTCCCTCTCCCTTACTTCCTTACTCCCATCTCTTCCTCCCTTTTTCCTTGCTTCCCTCCTTGATTCTCTCCTTCCTTCTTTTCTTTCTTCCTTCCTCCTCTCCCTCCTTCCTTGTTTTCTTCCCCTCTCTCCCTCTATCCTTCTTGCTTTTCTCCCACCTTCCTTGGTCCTTTCTTCCTTTCTTCCCTCCCTCCACCTTCCTTTCTCCCTCCTTCCTGCTTCCTTGAGTAATATTATTAACCCTAGGATTACCCAACTTGTAAAGAATATTCTAGCTGAAAAATCACATTGATTCAAACCAAATTTGATTTTCTGTTTGAAATGTTCTTTTTTATATTGTAATTGTACTCTTAATTCATGTTACTATTATTTTAATGAATATGTTAAAAGTTTTGATTAAAGTTTATTTTTAGATTAACACAGTTTATTATTCTTGAACCTTGTTGTCTCTGCTAACAACAACATAAAATCAGTGATCCCTGGTCAAAAAAGGTTGGATACCACTGGGTTAGTGAAACTCAGAACAATGTAAATACAAGCCAACCCTGTGACCAAATGTACAAGTTGTGTGGAGAGTAAGACACTTTCTCCTGTTGTTGGTTTACATCAGACCTGCACAACATACAGCTCAAGGAACACATGGATGTCAGAAGGCCCATGACAGTAGTGTGGTTGAACATGTCCTGGGCAACACCATAGTGAGCAGCACCCAAGCAAGCCATACCCCAATAATAATAATAATAACAACAACAACAACAATACTTTATTTATAGCCCACCCCTATCTCCCTGAGAGGACTTTTGTTCTTGAGTTGAGAGTAGAGTATCTGTTTCAGGAGACAGTGATTCAGACAACATGGCCAGTCCAGCAAAGTTGGGGGCAGAGGATCATTGCTTCAGTGCTGGTGGTCTTTGCTTCTTCCAGAACACTGACATTTGTCTGCCTATCTTCCCAAGAGATTTGCAGGATTTTTGGAGGCAATACTGATGGATTTATTCCATGAGTTGAGAGTGACATTTGTAGATGATCAACATTTTGCAGGCATATAATAGAGATGGGAAGATCAATGTTCCTTTATTTATCATATCAGGAGTGAACTGAGGGTACACATGTAATGTATTTAAAAATACACACAGAGTTTAAAATTTGTTATTATACTAAATATCCCTTGACCAGTCACTGGCCACTTGGAATGCCTCTGGTGTGACTGTAAGAAGGTCCTCCATTGTGCATGTGGCAGGGCTCAGGCTGCATTATAATAGGTGGTCTGTGGTTTGCTCATCTCCACAGTTGCATGTCATAGACTCCACTTTATGGCCTCATTTCTTAAGGATGGCTCTGCATCTCGTGGTGCCAGAGCACAGTCTGTTCGATGCCTTCCAAGTGGCCCAGTCTTCTGTCTGCCTAGGAGGGAGTCTCTCATTCAGTATTCAGTATTGAGGTTCCAGGTTTTAGCCTGCCACTTTTGGACTCTCGCTTGTTGAGGTGTTCCTGTGAGTATCTCTGTAGATCTTAGAAAACTATTTCTTGATTTAAGGCATTGGCATGCTGGCTGATATCCAAACAGACGATGGGCCAGAGATGTCACTGCCTTGGACCTTTCACTATTGGCTGCTACTTCCCAGAAGATGTCAGGTGCTACAGTACCAGCTAAACAGTATAATTTCTCCAGCGGTGTTGGGGGTAGATATCCTGTGATTGTGCGGCATGTCTATTAAGAGCCACATCCACTGTTTTAGCATGGTGAGATGTGTTCCACACTGGGCATGCGTACTCATCAGCAAAGTAGCAAAGTGCAAGGGCAGATGTCTTCACTGTATCTGGTTGTGATCCCCAGGTTGTGCCAGTCAGCTTTCAGATGATATTGTTTCTAGCATGGCTTTGCCAGCTTCCTCCAAACTAGGCAATGCTGCAAGCTCATCCCTGGTTTGTTGTTGTGGGATTTGCAAGAGAACCCCTTCAGAAAATGAAGAGCTATGGTTAAGGAGGTTATGGTAGACCTAAAAACTTGGCACCACAGTTCAAAAGCATTTATCTTCCTTCACTCAGCCTTCCCTATGGTCCAGCTCTGTGTAGAGCAGAGCTTTCCAAATCTTTCTTTCACACTTTTTAGATATGTATCCTTTCAGGACACAGTGAAACCAGAGGTTAAACCAAGCATGGGTAAACTTCAGCCTTCCAGGTGTTTTGGACTTCAATTCCCACAACTCCTAAGCAATCAACTGCACTGCACTGGAAAGAACACTACCATAATCTCCTTAACCACAGCTCTTCACTGGCTGAAGGGGTCATCTCGCAAAACCCACCACAATAAACTATAGAATCATAGAGTTGGAAGAGTCCTCATGGACCATCCAGTCCAACCCCCTGCTAAGAAGCAGGAAAATTGCATTTGAAGCACCCCCGACAGATGGCCATCCAGCCTCTGTTTAATAGCTTCCAAAGAAGGAGCCTCCACCACACTCTGGGGCAAAGAGTTCCACTGCTGAATGACTCTCACAGTCAAGAAGTTCTTCCTAATGTTCAGATGGAATCGGAGTCGTTTAGAGAAGACAATTATGCTGGGGAAAATGGAAGGAAGAGGGGCCGACCAAGGACAAGACGGATGGATGGCATCCTTGAAGTGACTGGCTTGACTCTGAAGGAGCTGGGGGAGGTGATGGCCAACTGGGAGCTCTGGTGCGGGCTGGTACATGCGAGAAGATCCTACGATAAGCAGTTGTTATTCATTCGTTCAGTCGTTTCTGTAAGAAGGTCCAACCAGTCCATACTTCAGGAAATAAAGCCTGACTGCTCATTGGAGGGAAGGATATTAGAGACAAAGTTGAAGTACTTTGGCCACATCATGAGGAGACAGGAAAGCTTAGGGAAGACAATGATGCTGAGGAAAATGGAAGGAAAAAGGAAGAGAGGCCGACTGAGGGCAAGATGGATGGATGGCATCCTTGAAGTGACTGGCTTGGCTCTGAAGGAGCTGGGGGAGGTGATGGCCAACTGGGAGCTCTGGCGTGGGCTGGTCCCAGCTCTCACAGAAACGACTGAATGAATGAATCACAACTGCTGTACACAACTGTACAAGGAGGGTCTTCAGCTTAGCTCTGGTGCCACACATTTCCACAGAGTCTTTCTTTCAAGTTGTGGAGCAAAACACCACTCTTGTCTCAAACTTCACAAAACCTCACTCCTAGAGGCACCTAAAACCTTAATTATCCTTCCTCCATAGAGCTCCAAATGACAGCCATCCAATGCCCATCCTTTCATTCTCCCGCCAAAACTGCCTTGATTTGCCAGGCGTTGGGGGCGGAGGGCGGGGGAGGGGGGGCGTGTGTGAGAAAACAGCCACCTGGTGAGCAGCGAGGGGCGGGGCAAGGCGGGGAGAGGGTTGGCTGGCGCGCGCTCTCGGCGCAAAAATGCACAGAAGCAGCCGAAGGGCTCGCGACGGCAGTGTTTGCAAGCCGGGCGTTTTCTCAGGCTTGCTTTGCAAAGCTCGGCAGCCAAAGTAGCACGAGCCCGCCTTGCCCCCGAAGTCTCCGCCGCTCCTCCCCCTCCTCCTTCACCACCTCCGAGACACCGAGGCGCTTGGACTTTCTTCCCCATCCTTCTCCTCCCCAGGCAAACTTTGATGGAGAATTTCACCCAGCGCTGGCAAAATGCCTGTCATGAAAGGATTACTGGCACCGCAGAACACCTTCCTCGACACCATAGCGACTCGGTTTGACGGCACACGTAAGTCTCCCTCCAACTGGGAAGCGAGGGAAGAAAGAGAGAAGAGAACGGGGGGGGGGGGGGGGGGGGAACCGCCTTCAGCCTCAATCCGAGAAAGAGCCGCTTCATGGGCTGGGGAAAGGGCCTGGGTGCCAATGTCCGACACCTCCCTTTTAAACAGAGCTATCATCTCAGTTGGTCTCTGTGAAGCTCAGAAACTTTGGTCCCATCAACACTGTCACAACATGCAGTTAACCACTACCATGTAATGCATGATATGCCATATAATGCAGGTGCCCACTGGCATATGTTGCAGTTAGAAACTGCCTTATATGCTCAGTCATATAATGCAGTTCATTAAATTAGGTTATATGGGTTGCTCTGAGTTTTCCAGGCTGTATGGCTGTGTTCCAGAAGCATTCTCTTCTGACTTTTCTCCCACATCTATGGCAGGCATCCTCAGAGGTTGAGGTGTCTGTTGGAAACTAAGTTTTTTGGGTTGTATGTCCATGTTCCAGAAGCATTATCTCTTGTCTTCTCTCCTGAGGCATCCTCAGAGGTTGTGAAGTCTCGCATCCTCAGAGGTTGTGTTGTCTCACAACCTCACAACCTCTGAGAATGCCTGCAGTGTAACAGACAAAGTTAGATCTACAGAAGGGCTAGACAATGTGATTGATAGTGATTTAAGTAATGAGACGCTGAGGATCCATGCTTTTATTGGTTTTTTTATTGATTGTTTGGTTTTATATTTATGCTAAATGTTTTTAATTGTGATTTATGTTGAGGGCATCAAATTGTGCCGTTGTGTAAACCGTCTTGAGTCGCTCTCTGGCTGAGAAAGGCGGTATATAAATATGGCAAATAATAAATAAATAAATACAGTCCGAAAAACTTACAACAACCCATTGATTCCTGCCATGAAAGCCTTCGACAATACATTAAGTAAGTGAGGTTTCTATATCTGTGCCAGAAAGAACTCTTGCCTGCTAGGTTATATGAGTCTGCATTGACCATATAATCCAGTTCCAAACTGTATTATATGCCAGTGTAGGTGGGGCCTTTGGCTAAGAAACAGCCCTGCTCAGAAATGTAAATTAGACCCGGCTTTTAGAAAGAGAGAGAGAGAAGAAGGGAAAGAATGTATTCTTTTGATGGCTGCCATAGAAGCAGGTGAAACGTCAGGAGAGAATGCTTCTGGAACATGGCCACACAGCCTAGAAAACTCACAACAACCCAGTATTCTTTTGGCTTTGTCTCCCACAAATGGAGAAATAAAGTGCAACATTAAATAAACAATACACACGTGAATAAATAATCAGGCATTTCCCTCTTTTCCTTCCCCACCCCTCAGTATTGTCAAATACAGTCTAATCTGCCTCTAAATACGGGACACTGGAGTAGAAAGGAGGTGAGATTGGGGGGAGGAGGCTGACTTCACTCTCTGAATTTAGCTTGGATTCGCCCCCGATCGTCTTGCTCTCTAATTTTTTTTATTTTTCAAAACCCTTTAAAGGCTTAATTCTTGTAAACCAGGTTTTTATATTGGCCAGACAGCTGTTGTCTGAGGTTGCTGAATGAGGTCTATATCCGGCTGCCTAATGAATGAGTTTATTAGGGCAACGGGGAGAGAAAAGAGAAAAGGAGAGATTTCTTTCATTTCAGGACCCTGGACAGATCCAATCTTTTTCGCCCTGAACTGCAGACCATAATCCTGGAGGTTGTTCCTTCAAGGATTGCCTTGCCTGCCTCCCCAATGGCCTGTATTTCACATTCCAGCTGTTTCAAGGCAGTTAGAAGACAATTTCTCTCCCCTTCCCAGCAAACACATGGCCTTCTGCTGCTCCAGTTAATCCCTGTTCAATGGCTCTCTTCTGATATACTTTATACACATGGAAGGGATGAGTCTGTGTGCTGATTGTATACAATGGACACACAGTCTGGAAGGTTGTTGAACTTTGTACTGGCAGACATATCAATTTGTTGCTATCCACCCTGGTGGGAACAGAGCTATTTAGGTATTTCAGAAACAGAATATATAAACAAGAAAGTGCGCTAATCAGAAGTTTGTCCGCAGTGAGTAAACTTCCATCTCTTTTGAAGTTCAGATATTTTTTTTTGTGTTAGATCATCCTGAATTAGACTTGCTTGTAAAATTGCCATGTTTACTTTGTCTTGAAGTCAATACTCTTGGTCAGTGCACAATATTGATGCAATTTTCTAATCCATATGTTCTGAAATGTTGACTTCAGTCTACTGCTATAGAAATCAGTTGTAATGAACCACCCAACTACATTAGTCTGTGTCTCATTCGTCTTGGGTTAGAATAGCGAAACCAGATGAAAACTTTATAGTTTCAGTTTGGCAGAAATAAATTATTTTCTGTAATCTATTTTTTCAGCCCTATCTCATTTTAACATTTCAAATAGAGAGATTCCAATATAATGTTCTGGTTCTTCATAGAGGAAACTGCTACATGCAGATAAAATGCAGCTGGATTCTGAAAGCCATTGGTTTATCTTCTAGGCCAACTGATGTTTAATTTTATTTTTTTGCAATGAAATAAAGAAATTGTATTAAAAGGCACCTTTATCTACAGTGTTTTACATATAATCTGGTAACACAGTACACTACACTTTTAGCTATCAGTGAGGTTGTTCAGGGAAGGAGCATGGCTTTCGAACAATTACAAACTGCACCATATCCAACTTAAACTGAAAGCTCTTTGTGCAAGAGTTCTGAAATGAAATCAGTCAACTGGATGCTGGCAATGTTTGTCTAATCTGAATTTTATTTTTATAATGTTAGTTTTGAAGCTGAAGCCTGATCCAACCAAATATAAGCTTTGCCAGTCCTAAGGCCCTCCCATCAGATACTATATAGGATCTGATCCCAGGTTTTCTATTTATCCCAGATTATCTGGCAGTGCAGGCTCATATAATCCAGTTTAAAGCAGAAAAACAGGTATCAGGTCCTGGGATATAGGACCTGTCTGGAAGGGCCCTTGGTCATTTTAATGGCCCACATTTGAGTTTCTGCTCAATTTTCTGTGACATCATTAACTTATAACAATTCAAATTTGGTCTTCGTATTGTTCTGAAATTTACAACCGTATACATTCCACAAATTATTTCGTTCTGGCAGCTTTTGAGATAATAATGCTGTGAGTACTATCAATATTGATTGCATATTTTGTTAGTAATGTTGGCTGTGGTTAAACAGAGTTCATTTTATTTTAAACCACTGGGAGGATGTATTATGCTGTCATCAGTAAATCTCTAATCCAGCAATACATCTTTAATCCGGTTGAGAATTAATTCTAATTCTGAGCAATGGGGCAGAAAAGGATTCCTGTTTATGTTGGGGAAAAATGCTCTGATTTTATATAGCACTTTATTTAAAGGATAGGGTGGAGGGCAAGTTCATTCTGAAAGAATATTTTCTTTTTTTTCCCTTTAATTCTGTAATTCTTTTTGAAATAGAAGAGAATCTTCAGTTGCCCCCAGTTAAAACTTGAATGGATTCTGTTAACGAACCACTTTCATTAACAGAATTTAGTTCAAATTTTAATAGGGGGTGTTAATGTTAATGAAAAAAACTCCCATAGACTGACATGGAAAATGTATCCTTAAAAACAGAATAATTGCCATAATAGGTCATATTAAAGTACTTCTTTCCACACAAAAAGGGATAATGAAACAATTTGGAAAATTTTCACACTGTGGTGTCACTGGAGCCAGCTATCTCCTCTTGTTTGTACCTTGATGTATTGCAGATATATGATCTCTGGGTATGGAATGATCTACTGTTAGCTAGTAGCCACAAATAACACTCTTATTTAATTGTAGTTTGGAGTCAGAAATATATTTTATAACTTATATGAAAACTTCCACGGTAACCATGGTTACACAAATGGCATTTGTTGTAGGATGCCACATATAACATTATCATCATTCAGTTTATGCAATACCCATTACTCACCAGTGCTCCAGCCAAGCAGTATTGTATATTTTTTCCATACAATATTTGAAGTTGGGGACAATATGTTCCTATTTATACTAGCATGATAATAAAGGTACAGCTGGAGACATGTCTGTTATGGAAGTTCCTGATCACTATGGAACATTGAAAAGAAAGTCTTTCATCACTAGCATTTGTTCTGCAGAATAATGGATTTTATAATGTAATTTAAAAATGCCTGTATGCTTACACAAACACAACCAAATGAAGCACTAGATAATGAAAAATGTATTTCCTTTATTTTTGGTTGCATTCAATAATTTGTATAAAATATTGTTTTAAAAGCCTTAGTTTTCACTGAGGTACCCACTCATCTATTCCATCCAAATAAGTATGATGCAGAAAGGAACAAACATCAAACATCGTTTTCATTCATAGAAAATAAGAGCAGCTGAAATATCAACTCAGTTGAATGTCTAAAAAGTAATTACTGCATAAAGAGACTCATGGATTAGTTTAGGTATCACTTTTCTGGAATTATGTTACCTTTGATTCATTTTTGTTTGTTACAAGATGTGTGTAGCGTTCAAACATTCCCACTTTAAACTTAACCATCTCGTGCCTTTAAATGTTAATATTCTGGTTTATCTTCAGACTGCATAAATCTTTGACCTTCGGTGATTCTGTATTTGGATGTAAGCCCCCATGGAATCAATGGATATATTTGAGCAAACTTTGACAGGATTATAACTTTTCAAGAACATGTTTTAAAATGTATACAATGGACAGGATAGATGTTATGGCTCCCTGATTCCTTCTATCCTTTGTAAGGTTTCTGTTCTTCTCTCCAATGGACTATGTGTGACTAAGATATGGCTTCCATGTTCCTTGAGTCATCACTGCTGTGTACTCAGTACTTTGCTGAGTGGATGATTTGGACTGTGTCACCATCAGTATGATGTCCTTCTTGTTCTGTGATCTTGAATCATGAGTGATTAGGACAGTTCACCCTGCTTTCTGGCTCCTCTAAACTGAAAAGAGACAGCAGATTAAATCCAATTGCT